CTCAAATTTGTCACGGTTCTAAGTCTGAACCAAAGAGTCCAAATCCGGCAAATCGTTTTTGAAAAACTGATTTTTTTGAAAGAAGTGCCAAACATGGACTGCTTTGCCAGATACAGAGTCGCCACCTAAATATTTTATTTTGGGAAATTTAGAAACCCTTGACTCGGTGCCAAAAGGCCACGTGTCCGTCATCACCAAAGTTGCTTCGCTCGGGAACTTGGGTACGAATTGGGGAAGTCCACTTCGTGAGCACCCCCGCTCGCCGGTCAGAGACCGGCCTCTACTAACCATGATATCTATTTTTGAAAAACATTGTGAGTTCCTATTCCGGTTATTAGCCTAGATTACTATGTGATGCGCACAGCATATAAATATAGACCGGGCCGCCGAATTGGGACAAAACATGTGATTGAATTATTCCAATTCAGATAACCCAACCTCACCCACAGGCATTCAGGCAAATAGTATCATATAAGCACATAGCCTCATGGTAAGCATGCTATTCATGGCAGCACTCACACGCATGCAAGGATGCTAAAGCATAAAGCTTACCGAGTACTGCCAAGCCAAAATAGAAACTTCATTAGACAATCATGCATGATCCTAAGTATACAGAATTACCCTAATGCAACACATGCAAAATGCAACTAATAGCAGGCTCGGCTATTCTAAGATGGTATATGAAATGCTACAACTATCATGTATTTCAATTTTGGAATTGAAATAATACAATGCAGTTAGTATGATTCGCCCGAGCCCGGTGCATGCAATACAGATGAATGAAATGCAAACATGCTGTCATACTTGTATGCTAATTGAAAATATGCCCTAATCTAACCATCAAAAGCGGATAAAATAAAGGGAGAAAGACGTGGGGTTTGGAAGACATACATCACACTCACACACACTTATTACAGTTGTGCCCTCATTCGGAGGTCCGAATAAATATACCAGTCCGAATATTACAGTCCAAATAAAAGAATATTACAGTCCGGAAATATTACAAAATTCTAATTAATTAAAGACATTATACTAAGAAAGCAAATACAACTGGCGTGCAGGCCAGGACTGCCTTGCTTCTGATGGATGATGCGATGTCCGGATTGTCTTGCGCGGAATCCACCGGTAATTGCGCCCAATTGCCTTTGTTTACACCTGTTCTTGAAATGCGCTGCCAAGTCCCGAAAAAATTGCTGATTCTTCATTTTGCTGCAACAGAGAAGCAGGAAAGGGCATAGCAATGTATTTGCACAGATATATGCATGTCTCGACTCCTCGTGCCAACCAATCACGCATTACCGAGCATGATGGCCGAGGGAGTCGAACATGCACTAACTCAAATAGGAATGAATGCACATGAAACTACAGCTAAACCGTAACTCCATCATGGATTAACCGGAGGCTGTCGGTTGGACTGAGGAAATTGAGACAGCATTCCGTCACTCGGAGTACGAATGTACCTCGTTTCCCGTGCCCGGGCAACTCCTGATTCCGAACACGATTGCAATATGCATGATAGTGCATGAAATGCAACTTAAGATTACAAATCCTAACACTTACACAATGCTATGGAAATGAGATGCCTCGAAATATGCATGCACTACGGCACACCAGAACCGAGATAAATGGTTAGAAATATTATTGTAAATGAGGGCCTCGAAGTGCGTCACACGGGGCAACGCGAAAACCGAAGGGGCGATGCAAAATGCAAAGAAAAATGACGATGCCTCGAAGTTGCGTGCCCAGGAGCACGCAAACCAAGGCGATGGACAAAATGGTATGAAAATGAGATGCCTCGAAGTGCCTGTACACGGCGCGCGCAAACCGAGCGATGGGCAAAATGCGATGAAATTGGACATTTGAAATTGACAAATGGGCTTATACAACATGAGTGAGCCTCAGCCACAACTCACATAGATGCCGGCGGCATTAAAAAATGGGGTGCCTCGAAATGCGTACACACGGGCACGCCAAAAATCCGATGCAATGATAAAATACGAATGAGAATGGGACATGGAACATGACAAATGGCTTATACCAACATGAGTGAGCCTCAGCCACATCTCAACATAGGATGCTCGGCGATAAATGGAAGTGCCTCGAAATCTGTGCACACGGGCACAGCGAACCGACGGCAATGATTAAAAATGGCGATGAATTGGACATTGAAATGACAAAATGGGCTTTATACCAACATGAGTGAGCCTCAGCCACACTCACATGGATGCCGGCATTAAAATGAAAGCTGCCTCGAAATGCGGTGCCACACGGGCACAGCCGAACGAGGCCAATGATAAAAGTGCGATGAAATACATGGATAATGACACAATGGCTGCTTATTAGCCAACATTGAGTGAGCCTCAGCCACACTCACATAGGATGCCGGCGGATTAAAAAATGAAGTGCCTCGAAAGCGGTGCACGCGGGCACGTGAACCGAGGCAATGATAAAATGACGATGAAATGACATGGAAATGGAACCAAATGGCTTATACCAACGATAGTGAAGTCCTCCAGCCACAACTCACCATAGGATGCGCGCAGGATATAAAATGATGTGCCTCGAAATGCGTGCACACGGGCACGCGGAACCGAGTGGCAATGATAAAATGCGATGAAGAATGACATGAACAATGACAAAATGGGCTGAATAACCAACATGAGTGAGCCTCAAGCCACACTCACATAGGATGCCGTGCGGATTAATAATGTGGTGCCTCGAACATGCGTGCACACGGCACGCCAAACCGAGGCAATTGAAAAATCGCGCATTGAAATGACATGAAATATGGAAATCATTCTGAATTGAATTTCACAGCAAAAATATGGGGAAAACAGTCCCGAATTAAAGCGAAATGATACCCAAATGCATGGAATTGTTCCCAGAATGCAACATTCACGGCTACCCGAAATGGCCTTAAGCTATTGCCAAAACATGCCACAACATGGACATGCCAATGCTAAAGACAGAAGCCTAGGAAAGTACCAAAATAAGCACTTTGTCCAGTTTATTAGACATGGTCAAAAAGCCAAGTATAGATTATGGAAAAAATGGGCATGCAAGAAATAGGGGCCAAGAGGATGGATAATGAAGCAAGTTGATATAAGAAAAATCCAAACTGGAAAAATTTCCTTCTTACAACATTGAAGGCGAACAAAAAAATGATATTTGCCAGAAACTGTAAAATGGCCAAAATCAGTGTACAAAATGGTAGGAAATTGTGATGCAAAAATGAGGGCTCAAAAAGTGGCTATAACATGAGCGTATGGCAAAATAGTCACTCACAAATAGCCAAAGAACCTTAATAAAACATTGAAGTATAAGGTCAAAATAAGACTAGTCTTTAGGCCTGCTAAAATGGCCGAAAAACAAAAGCATGGTAGGCCTAACTAAACATGCAAGAGAAAAACGAACCGAAGTGGGAGTTTAACATGAAGTGCTCATGTGAAGGTCCCAAACCATGAAAGACCCAAACAAAACATGAGGAATGGACCAAAATAAGGACTTTTTGCAGAACTGTAACAATTGGCCAAAAACATAAGCATGGTTAGGCTGCCATTGCATGCAAGAATGGGGAATAAAAGAGGAGTATAAACGTAGTATAAACATGAAGTCCCAAATGCGTGTGAGCCCTTTTTTTTCAATGTGTGAAGGGGGCTCAAAATAAGCCTAAATCAGTTTACAACAAATGCTCTAAAAGTAAATTTCTCCAGGGCCAAAAATAGCATGCAAAACTATGACATACAAAGAGGATCAATGAAGCAAAGTGTGTCATGGAGGCTCAAACAGGGTAGCCCTTAATTGAAAAGTGAAAGTATGAGCCTCAAAATAGGGGCCCTTTTTAAGGTTAGGGCCGGAGCTTGAAACAAAAAGAATAGAAGACTTACAAATAGATCTAAGAAAAAAGGTCAAAAGGGTAAAAGTGTTACTCACCCTTGAAGACTACGAAACTTTGTTTGCTTTCTTGGATGAATTTGCAGCTTCTTGGCCTTTGAGAAACCTCTTGTTGCTGGAAATTGAAGGTGGTGGTGGTAGAGTTTGGTGTTGTTAGAAGGGAGGAATGATGCGTAGGACTTAGGCGTTTTTTCATAAGAAATTGAGAGGTATAGAAATGGAGTTGGCTATGAAGCTTGAAGGAAATTTTTCTAACCCCAAAATACTACAAAGGCTTGCTTGCTATATATGGCAACAAGGGTTGTAAAGGTGCGGGGAAAAGGGAGAGCAAATTCCCCCACAAAATATCCCCCGGATTAAAGGATCTTGTCTGGGGGATATTGCCCCACAAGCTGATTAAAGTGCAACAGTGGCAAGGAAGCAGGCCGGCCTGGTGACTTTTGTTGCAGGTGGCCGGCCGGCCACACCCCCTAGCGGCCGGCTAGAGGTCAAAAGGTTCAATGAGATTTTTTCTGCCGGCCACCAACTGGTGGGGTACTCCTTACACTTATGTGTGTACAACACAACCATGTTGGGTTAAAAATTCCAAGAAAGTGGGTCCAAGGGTTCAACATTGCCCGGAAGGAGGGGGTCAAAAGGGTCAATTTGAATTACTGGCCGGCCATGAACTCTTTAGGGTCCTCTTCATGTGTGTACATCAAACAAATATGTGGTTCAAAGTTCAAGAAAAATGGGTCCAAGGGGCTTCAAACATTTAGCCCGGAAGGAGGGGGTCAAAAATGTCAAGTTGGAATTACTGGCCGCATGAAACTTTTTAGGGTCCTCTCATGGTGTACATCACAAATATGGTTTGTGTTCAATAGTTCAAGAAAATGGGCCCAAGGTATTCAACATTAGCCCGGAAGTGCGAAAAAACAGGCGCCGGCAGGGCGTCGGAGTGATGGTATAACTGGCTGCTGCAACAAATTGCTGGCCTTTATCCCTCATGACCTTTCCCGTGGACACCCCATTTTTGACCATCCTCAAGACTTGGACGTCATCGTTTGAACACTCGATGATCATCCATGCTCGTGTTCGTTTTGAGTTCCTGGAGGCCTCGAAACACAACCTCATAGCCGGAGAAATCGACAGGATCCCTGGAGGCGGCTAGATCTGAAGATTCAAGTACCTTTTTTGCTCTTAACAATTTTTGTATTACATTTTTATCAATAATTCAGCAAAAAAAACACACACACACACACGCACAAAAGGAAAGAAACAAACTTACAATCACAGAAGACAGGCAGCCAAACAAGACGCTCTTTCTTGGGTGACGCATGGCTAAGATCTTACAAGGCCACAATGAGTCAGCTAAAGAAAAACTACTAGTTTCATAAAAAAAAACCCAATAACAAATAGTTAAAAGGTTGTGTTTGAAACTTAAATTATTATTTTTTTCTTTTCAATCCAAAAAACATATAGAAATAAATATATAAATAAATAAAAGTAAGGATAACAGTCAAACTTACAGCGGCAATGCAAAATGTTCGGTCACCAATTTCAGAAACCACAGTCATAGCAAGGGATTTTGTGAAACCCTGATTTACAAATACAATTCAAACAATTAGTGAAACACTGTGTCTAGAATTTTTTTTTGAAAATAAAGAAATTAGTGTTGGTTTTTTTGTTCTTCTCCATAGAAGAGAAGCTAGACTGAGTTCAGTGGATTTGGTAGCAAATGGTACCACCTGTAAAACTGGTGAACTCATTTTTGCCCTGAGCTGCAAATGTCTCTGTGCTTGCTCTATAGAGAGAGAGAGAAAGAGAGGAAGGGAGGGTGGGAAGAGGGAATTGTAGTTACCAATAAAATTTAATTTAACCCATTTTTAACTGAAGTGCATCTCTAATTTTTTATTTTTTTCTTATCAAATTTAAATTTGATAAAAGGTATTTAAAATTCATAGCTAATTGTTTCATTAAATGTTTATTAAATTAGGAAAAAAATATTTTTCAAAACTTACAAAAAGATGAAATATTGGGGATAATTTTTTTCATATGATGGTGATGGGGATAGTGAAGCAATTTTTTTATTTTTTTATTTTTTTTTAAATATGGGCTGGGCAATTATTTTATGTTACTGGGCTCTGTCAAATTCACTCTATTTTCCTTTCATTTATTCTCAAGCAGGGCATAATTTACGGATCATTGTATTTTATACTCATATAAAATTAAAGAATCTTTTGCACTTAGAAATATAAAATAGAAGGGTAATGATACATCCCACTAAAAGTGGTACTCTAAAGCACTGGTATGCATTAAAAAAAACAACAATGATAGAGACCATTAATTTTGGAACTCTAAAAAGATCACTAATGACATGACACTCAATAAAAAAAGAAAAAAAATACAACACCAAGGCCAAAACTTCAAATCATTCATGGTGAGGCCTACTGCCACATCATTAGTGATAACACTAATTAGTGCTCCCACTCATTTTCCTTAAAAAAATCCCTTTTTTATTTGTACATCGTCATTGCTCGAGGGTCTTTTGAAAGACAAAATAAGCAGTTTATTTATTTATTTTTTTGGCTTAATTTTTTGTTTTTTTTTGTTTTTTTGATTTTTTCACAAATACATTTGGAAAGTATTAAATAAATAGTTTTTTTGCTTTTTGGAAATTATTATAATATGATATCACATCTTTTATAAAAATTACAAAATTCTCATATTAATTTCATGCACATTTTTGAAATTACCATTTTACCCTCCACTAACATTTTCCAAATTACCATGCAAAAAGAAGTGAGAATATTTCGGTAATTTCGCTGGTTGGCTTATTCTATCTCCCCAAATACAAAAATGCTAAAAAACAGTTGGCTGTTTGCTTATTTCAAAATGTGACCGTTAAAGTGTTACATCATATTTAAAGTATCGAGTGGAGGTGCTCTAATTAACTTTCCAAAATGCCTCTTTGTAATAAAAGAGAAATTATTCAATGCTCTTGAAGCAAGTCTAGGTGGTATTTCAAATAAAGAGTTATTATTGTTCTAAATCATAGGGTTCACCACTTTTGTTTTACAATTTTAGAAGATAAAATATTAAATGTCAACTTGTAAGTAGAAAAAAGTATTGATCAACGAGTATTGAATAATTTCTCCAAAATAAAGAAGTGTACAGGGTAAGTAAAAAATATGGACCTTTGAGTAACCCTTGTGAACGCATGAACCAAAAAGGAAAATGTTATAGGCCCTAAATTTTATACCAAATAAATGATTAAATATATTACATGGGTGTGGGGTTTGCAAAATATAAATCACACACTTATGTGAGGCATTTGATCATTTATTTAATAAAAAAAATTAATATTCCTAACATTATCCGAACAAAAAATCAAATGAATTAAGCCAAATACACCAAACACACTTCTGACACCGCCTCGCCTCCATCTTTGTGTGAACTATCCATCTCCCTTCCCTCCCCATAAACAAGAGAGAGAGAGAGAAGTGTATGCAAAGTGATTCAGAAGAATACATGTTCATATTAACTTTTATCTAATATATGCCTTCTTTACCATATATATTCTTAATTATGTTATTTTTTTCTTTAATTATGACTAATTTTCTTCTTTAGTTATGATATTATTTTAATTATAATTCATATTGTACTTGTTATGATATTTTTTTTTATGGTTATTATGTTATTTCTTTCTTTAGCATAATATTTTCCAACGTACCATATATACATATATATGTGTGTGTGTGTGTGTGTAAGGTGATATTGAATTGAAAGCATAGATGATAATGGTGATGAGAATGAGGAAAGTAGTGAGAATGTTGTTGGTGGTGTTGATGAATGTGATGATGATGGTAGTGAAAGTAGCAAATTCACATGATTACGGGGAAGCATTGACAAAGAGTCTTTTGTTCTTTGAAGGATAAAGGTCTGGCAGGTTACCCCATTCTCAGCGCATCACTTGGCGAAAGGACTCCGCTTTTCTTGATGGCTTTGATCTCCATGTAACTCTCTCTCTCTCTCTCTCTCTCTCTCTCTCTCATATTCGTTCCCATGTTAATAAAATATTAGTAATTGTTTTGAAGCAATGGGTTACTCTACTTACAGCACGTTTGTTTGGAATGATTCAGTCCTGGGAAATGATTCATGTTCTGCGGATGAAATAGTTTATGATTTGGTTTAGAAATTTTGCACCGAATTAATAGGCCATCCGAATTATTAGTCACAAATATGTTGGATTGTTCTTTTCGGAGACCGTGGGACATAAAATCCGGGATAACTTGAAATTACATTTTTGGCCAGTTGAGTAACCGGTTGACTGGGAGACCACCAGTGAGTGTTTTTGTGTTGCTAAAATAGAGAGCATGTGATATTAATTATACCTAGTAAAATAAAATAAAATAAAATTTAAAAATTTCAACCAAAAATTAAAATAAATTTATATAATTTTTATTGATGTTCTGTTTATTTAATTTTTTTTAAAAGTTCTAGTAAATAAATAAATAAAATATGATACATATATAATTTAATAGAATAGTCCAATCCTGATATACAATTTCATGACTAAACAAACATATGATTCAATATAATAGTTCAATTTAGACATCTAATCTCATGACTAAACAAATATAAGATACACATCATTTCTTACCGAATAGTCCAGAGACAATATATCTTAGGACTTACAGTCCGGTGAATTACAATATTCCTTATTCAGTCCGTTCAAACAAACATACCATTAGGTCATGTTTGTTTGGATGAACTGAATAAGGACAAATTATAAGCCATGAGATTGTTAATCCTAAGATATATAATTCCTGGACTATTTGGTTGGATAAGATGTGTATCCCAAATTTGTTTAGTTATGAGATTAGATGTAAAGAAATGATTATTCTATTGAATGTTATGTTTGTTTGAGATATCCTAAAGAAAGATAAATGTTCAAAAGACAATTTTGCCATTTTAAATTGTTTACTAAATAATATCATGTCATTAATATTTTAACTTTTTTGGGCTAGATTAAATAAAAATTTATTTTATTTTTTAAAAAATTAAATAAATTTATTTTTTTAAATTAAATAAATAAAATATCAATAAAAATTTGTGTTATTTTTAAATAAATTGGTTTTAAAAAATAATATTTATTAAATAAAACATCAATACATATTTAAATAATGAAATTAAATAAAACTTCAATAAAAATTTATCTTAAAAAATTAAATAAATAAAACATCAATAAAAATTAAATAAAATTATTTTATTTTTAAATTGAGACATTCAAATTTATTAAATATAATACATAATTAAATCAAATACTTAGAGGGCAAATATGTCATTTTATCATTTAATCTCATGGGATAGTTATCCCACCAATTCTATCTCATACCTCCCTAGGATATAATAATTCCACGTATGTGGGATTGATGGTTCATCCATACGCCTAATCTAGCCTATGAATTTACAACCAAACAATGGATTCCATGATTCAATAGACATTTAGTCTCCAATCCCCACTCCAATCCCTCCAAATAAGCACACTCTTATTGCTTTCATGGAATGATAAAATTATAGTATTATTATGGAACCAGATTCTCTCAAATCATGTTGTTTGGTCACGTTGGATCTCACTTTAATAATTAATTTTTTTTTATTTTTTAAATCACACTATTTGGATTATTCATAAAAATAAAAATAAAAATCATATTAAATAATCATAATCATGTTAATTTATTGTATTTGTTTATCAAAAAATAGATAGTTTAGTTTTTAAATAATGTATAGGATAAATTATTAATATATCTTAAGATTTGTTTAAAATATAAATTGTTCTCGTGACTCTAAAAACTACATCCCACCACTTGAAGTTTTTAATTTTATAATAAACAACTTATTTTATTAATAAATTATCAAGTTAACATTTTTGAATGATATCAGAAATTTATTTTAATTAATAATTCATGTATGTTTTTTTTTATTATACGGGAGAACAATTAAATTTTTTTTCAATTAATTATGTTAAATAAAAAATTTGACAAGAAAATATTTATAATTTTTCAAACCACATGAGACAATTCGTATGTTAAATAAATCTCAAAAATATATTTGTAATTTATCCTAATATTTAGCAGTTTATTTTTTTACAAATAAATATCATAAATTAATTTGATTATTTATTGAATCAATTTGATTTTTTCACAAATAATCTCCCAATCAAATCCAAAAAATGTAGATCTTGATAAGTATGAAACATTAGCAACTCAATCACAAAATATAATTTTTGATATTTTTCGAATTTGGAGTGATGGCATTTTTTATATTTTTTGCACTTGTAACATGTTATCTCTTGATATTTTTGTAATCTCTTATAACCTTCTAATCAAAGTGAAATCACAACAATCGTGGATGTAACTCTAATTTATGATGTAACCACTAATGTTCACAACCCTCCATGTAAAATTCAGTTGGTTTTAGCTTCAATTGGAACATGAAATCAATTGTCCTAGAGCAAAATCAAACACTTTTAACAGAATGCTAGTATGCTACTGCTGGATTACTCCTTCAAGCAGTCAAAATACAAGAATCTATCCAGAACTTTTGGTGGTCGACCCCCTAGGCAGTTTTTTTTTTTTTTGGACTGGTTTGAACCTTTTTGTGAACGGTCTGAACTTTCTCCGGGGCGACCGGTTGGTTAACCGGTTGGTCAACCGGATGGTCGACCCGTTCGTCTCATCCCAACGGTTAGGAACAGTGATTTGGTGAAATGCTTCGCCTGCACTCAGTTTGGTACCATTTTTGCTGAATTCTGGATTTGATATCGATTTGGTGAAAACGTTGGAGCTTAAAAAAGTGGCTTTTTCACCAAATTTTA